ATAGACGACCAGGAAGCAAGCCTCCGCCTTTTCATTTCATCTAGGCTCAGAGTTGCTTGAGGGGTTTCGTGCACTCGTGTCAGTGCCACCCTTGGCTTGAGGACCTCGGGATTTGGGTCTCATGGAAGCCATTGAAAGCCCCTAGAAGGGGACTTCGAAGGTTTCAAGGGCTTTTGATGCCTGACTCGCCCAGTCCAAGTTCTTTTGGTCCAAGGACATCTGGCTCTCAACGCCCAAGATCACCTGAGCAGACATGTGATGCCCATGTCGATGAGTTGCGTCGATGGTCAACCCAGCACTGCCAAAAGGCTGATGTCCCCCGGGCCAAAAGCGAATGGCTCCGTACCGAAACGCTAAGCCACAACTTGCATGAGTCGAGGGTGAGGGGCGCATTGGGTGATGACGTGCCAAGGAAACGTAGCCATGTGGCTGAGTTTGCGATGATCACGAGGGAGATGATGCACTCGAACCAGGGGTTCTTGATTATCCTGCGAGGGTTTCACGAGCCGAAAGCCATGAGACCTAAAGGCTTCAATAAGCTACGCTCAAGCCACCCAAGGAGCACAGCGCAGGAAGACGCATCACGACTCATGACTCCAAAAGCCCAACTGGAGAAGACCTGTATTATGTATTAAGATAAAAAATGAACCACGAGTGGACAACTACGACTACAAAGGAGGACACCTGCATGATTACTAGGGTGCTCGTGTCTTGACTGGTTCGGTTAGGCAATCTGAGCGCCCACTAGCATCAATAGCACGAGCAGTCACTAACAAGGTGGGCAAGCTGAATAAGGCATGTTTGACAGGATCAAGGCACCCCCTAGAGCCATAGCCTCCCCTGCAGGTAAGGCCTCTTGCACAGAACGGTGAGAAATGGCCAGAAGCCATCAGCAATCGGTGGCAAGGCTTTCTGCGCGGGCCTCGAGGGGGTCTTCGGTCTCAGAAGTTCTGGATTCTGGGATGTTCTTAGCCGTTCTTGTTGCATCCGGAGCAGCAGAGCGAATTTGCCAAAAGAGCTGAGATCACAAAGGCCAGAGCAAGCCAGGCAAAGGCTACTGACCAAGATGCCCGCAGTTGCGAGCTTGGATCCACCACGAGGTTGACAGCAGCATGCAGGGCAGTGACAGAAGCATGCACACGGCTTTCGGGAGCAGAGGAAGCAGCAGCAGCAGCAGTGGCGGCGGGGCCAGCAGCTGCAGCAACGGCGCAGGCAGTTCTTTCCCAGCAGAGAATGGAAGCAAACAGCCCAAAACTGCACATCCACCCCACAAAGTCGCTCACTCAATTCGGTTTTCGGATGTATAAGGTTCCAGAAAGCCCAGAACTTGAGCGAACGAGCTGGGTACATGCCGAGCATTTGTTTGTTGGACCCGCATGGCATAGCTGGACTGGGCTGCAGGCTTTAGATTTGACTCTCCATCTCGTATACCACACTCATGTAACTAAAGCTCCCTACTCCCTACCAAAGCTTGATGTGCAGAGTGCAGAAGCCGGCTTTCTTTCCCAGATTCTGTCGCATGCTCCTTCCCGGCCCTCCTTCCGCACCAAATTACGTAACTTCGAGTCGCGCAAAGCCTGGCGAGAACAAACAGCCGTAAAGCCGAGATTGCTGCTTGGGAACTTCTGTGTTTCCCGCACCTTCTGCAGGATAGAGTTGCTCCTTAGACAAGGCCGACTTGAGCAAAGAAAGCCTTCGGACATCTCTGGATTGAAGGCGGCTCCTCCTTTGAAATGCCGTCTCACCCCAAAGCCCCGGATAGCCAAGGCATGATCACTGTCCAATGCCCCTATCACTGTCCAATGCCGCCCGGCTCTTGTTGGTGGGCTGGATGTCAGACTCTGACCGCTGGAGGATGGCCTGTTGGGCTGCGTAGAGCTGCACATTTGAAGGGTTTGCAGTACAAATCAATGAACTGCCCGGGCTCAGCCTGCTACCATCTGCCGCCCTCCACTGACGTAGAGCATACGAAACAGCGACATAGGAAACACCAGATCAGGTCTGCCATGGGACCACACTCCTCCGAACTCCTGGTTCTGGTCACTGGGGGGCGGTGGAGGGAGGCTGGTATCCCACTTGAAGGGCTTCGACTCTCACACCCGCACGCGGCTGGGACTCCTGAGTTGCACCCCACACCGTCCCAACACTAAAGCCTCTGCACCGTTTTCGGGACTCTCTGATGCAGCATTCAGCGGGGCCTCACGCAAGAAGCATGCCTCTGCTAAGTCCCAGGCCTCCCCACCCCATCCCAGCCATGTTCAGCACGAGACCAGGCAACTGCAACTACTGCACAAAGACTTCAGGCATCAAACGTGGAAGGTTCACAAGCGTCACATTGCCCCAAACAAGCGGGTAACGAGGTTCAACGAGGCCCCTTAACAAATGCAGAAGACCAGGCAGCTTCGCCCTTGCACCTCCGCACAAGAGGAGCCGTCAGCGGCCACACAGACATCCGAAACCTTCCCCGACCCGGAACCATCTGGAACCTCCCAGGCCCCCCTCCAAGACATGTGACAGCCCTGGCCTTCACGGCGTCGGATGTGGTTGGGTGGACCTGCCAAGTTGGGGCATGGCTTCAAGTTCTCAAAGAGCTTGGCGTCAGAGGTGCAGAAATGGGTGCGTTTCTGGGTCCCGGAATGCGATGCCCTGAACTTCCGGACCGCAGATCCTTAGACCTTCCTTTCTTTCCTCTTTCACTCCTGCCCTCAACCTTGGGAAAGTAGCCTCCGTGGCATCGCCTTGCTTATTCAAACCTCCTGTCTTCCAACCAAGCAAAAACCCACGAAACGTGGCGCGCACTGCCTGCTTGCGAGGCATGGGACTCTGCAGCCAACAGAGAAGGTACAAACCGTTATATACCCCGAGATCAGGCGTAGCAAGCCAGCACACAGAAACGCTCGAGTTTCGATCCTTCAGCTCCCTTCCCGGGGCACCTTGACCTCATCAGTCACAGCCTGACCTGCCTTTGACTCGGAAATCTCGGTGATTTCCTCTCCGACCCTGGGCCGATTGCTGTTTGGGTCATGGCTTGGAGACTTGGACTTTCGCGATACGCTTCAGCATGTTTACAGGATTCTCTTGTGTTGAGTTGAAGGTTTTGGGATGTTTCGGTGGTTGGGATTCTCACTGAACTTCCTCGTTGTTTGAGCTGTTTGTGCTAGGAACTTGCAGAGCTAGTCAGTTCTCCATTGTGGTCTCTTTACGGGTCCTAGGTTTAGCCCATCAGAACTTGGAGAAGCCACCAGTTCGGCCTATGAGATACAGTGCAGCTAAGTCGTCCAACCCCTCTACATTTCCTAAACCTTTGAAAGAAATGAAAAACCCAAAACCATACCCTCGTGGCAAGTAGCGGTCGGGGCGGGGGGGAAAAGGGGTGAGGACAACTTTCGCCACGGGTGGAAAGATAATGGGCGACTGCGCGAGATAAGCCCTGGTGCATGTGCTGCACAAGTCTCCGGATGCTGGTAACCTGTTGATCCCGGCACTGCTTCTTCTTCTGCACCTGCAAGACTTGTCCGGACTACGGATGTGGTTTCTTCCGGAGCACGTGCAACAAAACCATGACGGCGCAAGCTTTTGATGCATTAGTTCTGCCACGTCCGCCAGAATTAGATGGAGAAGCTTCGGACATGGTCTTGCAAGCCAAGGGTGTAGGAGCCTGCACCCACCGCTACAACGAGAAGAGCAAGAGAACCCTCGACTCCTGCAGGCACCGTTTTCCATTCCATGGAGTGGTACGATCACCATCTTTCTCATTGCGTTGCCATGGCTTGGGAGGTGTTCGAGTTTGGTCACGCTTGCTGATGTCGACTTTTCCGCAGTGGGTCAGGCTGTTTCTAGGACCGGCCGGGACCTGCAATGCAAATTAGACCCTCTGGGCTCCCAATGCCGCGCTTCCATGTGTCACGCCATGCATGATGCGGGTGGTGCCAAGGAGATCCATCAAAACCGTAGCCAATCCCTACACAGTCAGCGATGGTGCCCATGGATACCAAGTGGCGAACCCCTGCTTGAACGAGCGGCAGGTAGTAGTCGTCGAAGACCACATGCTTCACGCTGGGGAAATTCCGCAGAGTTTGGAGCGCATCCTCCACAACATTTTCGAAGGCGTGCCCCGCATCGACGACGACCGCGTCCACGCGATTCTTCCGGATCATGGACGCCCAGCCGGGTAAAGTCAGATCAAACATTAAAAAAACCACATTGACCAGGTTGACATCCATGGATGCTGCCAGCTCAAGGGCCGTCTCATTATAGTCCACAGCCAGCACCCGCTGGAAGATTGAGGCAAGCAGGCGAGTCGTGAAACCTTCGTGAACCCCCAGCTCCAGAACTGTTCCCCGGTCTGAGGTGGAGCAAAAGAACTCTGCCAAATGAGCCTTGAAGAGGTGCGTCGTTGTCATGAAATCCTCAGACATGTCCGGGGTCTGGCGAATAGCTTTTGAGGCGCTCTGGAAGCACTCGGAATCCAGCTGCGCCGCATGTGCAGCCGCTACCATGGCCACAACTCGAGGAAGTGCGCTGCTTGGGGGACCCATTCCCCTTAATTACTTAGATGAGGAATGGGTGCCCTCGAACAATGGAAAGGAGTTTTTGCTGTGGTTTTGCTTGGCAAAGTTTCTCATGCCCTGGCTGCTCAACTCTGAAACTTCTCTGGGCCCTATGGCCTATGGGCTCATCATGGATGTTCCTGGCCGACGCCTGATATCCTGCACTGGAAGCTTACATCAAGCACGCTGCAGACCCCTTTCAAGCCCCCAAATCCATCAAAATCCCAAAGCCCAAGAGCCCTCCACCTCCTTTCCCACCCAACCCTGCCGCAAGGGTTGAACGGTGGAAGTTTTTTCAACGTCCCCACAGATAAGACACCAGGCTTGGGCGACTTATGCCAACAACAGACTACGCAGGCTACGTAGCTTCCTTCCAGAGAACTCGTGGTTCCTTTGGCTGAGCCCAAAAGCTCAATGTCGCTGGTTCGATGCAAAGACCCGAGTAAGCCCTCACACCATTGTCACAAAGTCCTCCTCTCCCCAGACATCCGTTTCACCCAGCCCTGCCGCAATTGTGGCCTGCTCCACCTTGGCAGCCAGCTGCGTGAGCTGCGTCTGCGAAGTGGAGAGAAGCTCCTCAGAGACCCAAGCATGAAGCACGAAGCCGATGAAACCCAAGAGGTGAAGTTTGAATTTAGATCCCATCTCTTTTTGAGATCTCCATCCCGCAGTTCCTCATTCCATCGCTCAACGTCGCTCCCTCTGCCCATGAAACATCGCACCGGCCCCCACTTCCTTTCTTTGCTTCTTTCTCGTAGATGGGACATCAAGAACTGTGGGCCCCTGCGTGCAACGAGCAGGCACCCAGCGACACATCTTTTTGAAACACGCTGTGTCAAATCACCACCAGTAACCAGTATTGGCGTGCACCTGGCCAAACTGACCCTCTCGTGGCGAAGAGCCTTGAAGAGCAGTGAAAAGGTCCCCGAAACTCAACACAAAACTGGGCTCCGAGTTCTCTTCCTTCCTGCACACGTACCTCGACCGAAAGCTCCGATCCCTCTGCTTCTTCCCTTGCAAGAGAGGTTGGGACCCAAGGTTGCTGAGTCTGTTGTCGCTCTCTCTCTCCCTCTCTCTGTCTCTCTGTCTCTCTTCCCTTCTCTTTCTTTCTGTCTTTGACTACCCCTCCCCCCCCCCCGCGAGCACTTGTCTGTGGGAGACTGACAACGAAAAGGAATTTTCATGGGGGCCCCCGGCCACAGTGGCCTGTTGAGCCCCCCGGTTTGTGGCACAGAGCGTCTCAAAGTTTGACTCCTCGTCGACTTGGATTTCAGGGTCCCCCATACATCGAGCTGCACTGGGTTGCGTCCAGCACCAGGAAGCTTCTCACTCTCGCTTCTCGCTCTCACTCTCGCTTCCCGCTCTCTCAGTCAGTCTCAGTCTCTCTCTCTCCCTCCCTCCCTCTCTGCCGTCTCTGTCTCTGTATGCTCCTCCATGTCCAGCATGGTTGCATGGATCGCGGCGTGCTGCAACTTCAAGCTGGCTAGCATCTCCTCCGCCGCAGGCAAGCACAGAAGACGGGGCCAATTGGGTTCTTGGATGGGCCTCAGGTGAAGCACTTGAAAAGCTGTAGCTGGAGACGGGAAGGTGCCTCTGTAACGATATCTCTGTTACGAGAAATCAACACCACCCAGAACTCGCTAAGTTCTCAAAGAAAGAACACCTTGAGATCTCAGGGCATGCTGTTCTCGCTCCTGGGGCTTAGCAACCGACGTGGACAAGGACTCGAGCTCTTTCTTCAACTCCGGTTCCTCGGAAGATTTGTTGACTAGGGTTTGCTGCACGATGTGGAGAAACGCATGTGCTCTCGCGAAACAAGCCTCCTAAGCCAGCCTTAGAGCTCCGGCATGTCACGCTATGTCTGTGATTAAGCTGCTAAGCCTGCCGAAGTTGCACAGTCTGCCCTGATCCGGCCTCCTCCGTGTATGGCATCTGGTCCAGCTTGATCTCCGTCCCCGCCGGCGAATTCGCGGACGGTCCAGTGCAGACAGACGCGCAACCGTCCATGGTGTCAAAGAGAGCCCTAAGAAGCAGCGATCAAAAAAAGCCTCAGCCCAACACTGCCATCTTCCAAGCTGTGGTATCTAGTGATGCATGCCAGATTTGTGTAGGCTTTCTGCAGATGTGCCCTCGAGGATGCAGCTACAATGGACGCCTTTCGATGATGTTCTCAAACTTCAATCCTATACCACCAAATGTTGATTTCTCCTGACACGGCGAAGGAGTCCGCGCAAGATATTTCCGGTCACTAGTATGGGTAGCTCAGGCATCTCGACCGACATTGTTGACAACAGAAGTCCAGAATCCGATAGTACGACAGTACACAACGCATCACAGCAGCAATCATCTAGCAATGTTGATCGAACATCTACGGCCAAGACACCTGTGGACCAGCATATAGAGCCTACGACACGCCATCCTATTCCCGGGAACGAATGGTACAACCCCAGGCCAAGCTCCCACTGAACCTTTGCAAACACAGCGGTGGCTCGTGCAAGACAATTGCGCCTGGACCGACTTCAGCAGCCAGGATGGTAAATCTTGTGGCAAAGGCCTCAGGACACGTGTGCGAATCCCACTGCGCTGACTTCGAAAAAGTGGGTGGAGACGGTGCTTTGGCTCCTTTTTTCCTTGGTCCCGTGTCTCTGGGTTTTACCGGGAAAGCTGTATTTCATGAGGTTCTCTCTACACTCTGATGGGAAAACCTCAATTGCTCTCTATACTTTACTAGGACCACATCTATCTTATCTATAATTTTCACTGCAAAACATCTCTCTACAGTCTACTAATTGTATTCTAGATCTATTTTCTCTATATTTGAAGAGGAAAACCTCTGTGCACCAGGAAAACCTCTATTTTCCATGCCTGTCGAGGATGAATGTACTCAAATTCCTCTACATGTGCAGGCAAACAGAACACCCGTTTGCAAATAGAATTTTCGCATGACAGGTTAAAAGGGGATTGGGGGGGGGGGGGACAGCACACCCCATTTGCAAACAATGCTCGCGCAACCACTTTGCATGACGAACTTGTTTACAAAGCGAGTTTGCACGAGGCAACATAAGTACATATGTGAATATGATAATAATATATAATATACAAATATGTGTGTAGATAGAATTTGCAAGCTTGTGCATACCTACAAAGGGGGTTGGGGAAAGGGGGTTGGGGGGGTTGGGGGGGGGGGCAGGCGCAGCCCCCACCATTGCAAACCCAATGGGGTTCGTACGTTCTTAGTGCAATGTCTTCATGGCATGATCGTCTTGAGAATGCCGCCACTCCCCCTTTTGCAAACACAATGCTTTGTATAATGATTGCAAACCCAATTCACTCTTTACAACGTCGTATGGATCGCCCCCCCCCCCCCCCCGTGTGCAGCTAGGGTTTATTTGGAAGCTGGCACTCGTGTTCACAAGAGGAAAAAAGGCCCCAAAACGTATACTTATTTACAAGAGCCAACTTCCAAATAGACCCTTTTTTAGGTCCTAGGGGGGGTCCCAGGCCTGAATTAAATATGAAGGCCCCGATTTAAATATGAATATTTAATTCTGGAGCTTCATATTTAAATTATTTAATTCGGGCCCGGGTTAAATAATTTAAATAATTTAAATAATTTAAATAATTTAAATAATTTAAATAATTTAAATCCTGGAGGGGGGGGGGGCGGGCCTCCTCCCGCAGGAGGAATTAAATAATTTAAATATGAAGGCCCCGAATTAAATATTAATATTTAATTCGGGGCCTTCATATTTAAATTATTTAATTCTTCCTGCGGGAGGAGGGCCCCCTCCAGGATTTAAATTATTTAAATTATTTAAATTATTTAAATTATTTAATTCCCGGGCCCGATTTAAATAATTTAAATATGAAGGCCACGATTTAAATATGAATATTTAATTCGGGAGCTTCATATTTAAATTATTTAATTCGGGCCCGGGAAATTAAATAATTTAAATAATTTAAATCCTGGAGGGGGGGGGGGGGCGGGCCTCCTCCCGCAGGAAGAATTAAATAATTTAAATATGAAGGCCCCGAATTAAATATTAATATTTAATTCGGGGCCTTCATATTTAAATTATTTAATTCCTCCTGCGGGAGGAGGCCCGGCCCCCCCCCCTCCAAGATTTAAAATATTTAAATTATTTAAATTATTTAAATTATTTAGATTATTTAATTCCCGGGCCCGATTTAAATAATTTAAATATGAAGCTCCCGAATTAAATATTCATATTTAAATCGTGGCCTTCATATTTAAATTATTTAAATCGGGCCCGGGAATTAAATAATTTTAATATTTTATTTAATAATTTAAATAATTTAAATAATTTAAATATTTAAATCCTGGAGGGGGGGGGGGGGGGGGCGGGCCTCCTCCGCAGGAGGAATTAAATAATTTAAATATGAAGGCCCCGAATTAAATATTCATATTTAATTCGGGGCCTTCATATTTAAATTATTTAATTCCTCCTGGGGGAGGAAGGCCCCCCCCCCCTCCAGGATTTAAATTATTTAAATTATTTAAATTCGGGCCCGATTTAAATAATTTAAATATGAAGGCCACGGTTTAAATATGAATATTTAATTCGGGAGCTTCATATTTAAATTATTTAATTCGGGCCCGGGAATTTAATTAAATAATTTAAATAATTTAAATAATTTAAATCCGGGAGGGGGGGGGGGCCGGGCCTCCTTGCGCAGGAGGAATTAAATAATTTAAATATGAAGGCCCCGAATTAAATATTCATATTTAAATCGAGGCCTTCATATTTAAATTATTTAATTCCTCCTGCGGGAGGAGGCCCGCCCCCCCCCCTCCAGGATTTAAATTATTTAAATTATTTAAATTATTTAAATTATTTAAATTATTTAAATTATTTAAATTATTTAAATTGTTTAATTCCCGGGCCCGATTTAAATGATTTAAATATGAAGCTCCCGAATTAAATATTCATATTTAAATCGTGGCCTTCATATTTAAATTATTTAAATCGGGCCCGGGAATTAAATAATTTAATTAATTTAAATATTTTAAATAATTTAAATAATTTAAATCCGGGAGGGGGGGGGGGCCGGGCCTCCTTTTGCAGGAGGAATTAAATAATTTAAATATGAAGGCCCCGAATTAAATATTCATATTTTAAATCGAGGCCTTCATATTTAAATTATTTAATTCCTCCTGGGGGAGGAGGCCCGCCCCCCCCCCCTCCAGGATTTAAATTATTTAAATTATTTAAATTATTTAAATTATTTAAATTATTTAATTCCCGGGCCCGATTTAAATAATTTAAATATGAAGGCCACGATTTAAATATGAATATTTAATTCGGGAGCTTCATATTTGAATTGTTTAAATCGGGCCCGGCCCACCGGGCCCCCTCCCTCTCCCAGAATTGCATAATTTAAATAATTTAAATCCTGAACACCCCTTTCGGATTGAAATTTTTTAAATTATTTAATTCCGGGGGGGGGCCTGGTCGGGCCTGGCCCCCCCCCGATTTAGTATCGGGGAATTGAAAGATTGATTTCATGTCAATGTCCAGGGGCCCGATTTGGCCAAATTTTGCCGGGCAGCCTCCGGTCAAAATTTGGCCAAATCGAGCCGCGCCTTTCTGAAGGCCCGAGATTATTTTAAACTATCGCGGCTCGATTTGGCCAAATTTTGCCGGGCAGCCTCCGGGCAAAATTTGGCCAAATCGGGCTGCCCTTCGTATGCCATGAGAAATGCGCGGCTCGATTTGGCCAAATTTTGCCCGGAGGCTGCCCGGCAAAATTTGGCCAAATCGGGCCCCTGGACATTGAAATGAAATCAATTTTTCAATTCCCCGATACTAAATCACGAGCCCGGGCCTCCCCCTCAACACTAAATTACGAGCCCGGGCCTCCCCCCAATACTGAATTACGAGCACGGGCCTCCCCCCAATACTAAAGTACGAGCCGGGGAATTAAATAATTTAAATAATTTAAATGCCCGGACGCCCCCCCTGGGGTATTTAAATTATTTAAATTATTTAATTCCTGACCCCCCAACCCCGACCCGCAAATGTTGTTCCTACCCTTTTCCGTTGTGTGTGGTATTTGCAGGACTTTTGCAGGGTGCCAAGGGGATCCCGGCAAATTTTGACCCGCAAATGTTGTTCCTACCCTTTTTCGTTTTGTGTGGTATTTGCAGGACTTTTGCAGGGTGCCAAGGGAATCCCGGCAAATTTTGACCCGCAAATGTTGTTCCTACACTATTCCGATTTGTGTGGCATTTGCAGGACTTTCGCAGGGTGCCAAGGGGATCCCGGCAAATTTTGACCCGCAAGTGTTGTTCCTACCCTTTTCCGTTTTGTGTGGCACTTGCAGGACTTTTGCAGGGTGCCAAGGGGATCCCGGCAAATTTTGACCCGCAAATGTTGTTCCTACCCTTTTTCGTTTTGTGTGGTATTTGCAGGACTCTTGCAGGGTGCCAAGGGAATCCCGGCAAATTTTGACCCGCAAATGTTGTTCCTACCCTTTTCCGATTTGTGTGGCATTTGCAGGACTTTTGCAGGGTGCCAAGGGGATCCCGGCAAATTTTGACCCGCAAATGTTGTTCCTACCCTTTTCCGTTTTGTGTGGTATTTGCAGGACTTTTGCAGGGTGCCAAGGGGATCCCGGCAAATTTTGACCCGCAAATGTTGTTCCTACCCTTTTCCGTTTTGTGTGGTATTTGCAGGACTTTTGCAGGGTGCCAAGGGGATCCCGGCAAATTTTGACCCGCAAATGTTGTTCCTACCCTTTTCCGTTTTGTGTGGTATTTGCAGGACTTTTGCAGGGTGCCAAGGGGATCCCGGCAAATTTTGACCCGCAAATGTTGTCCTACCCTTTTCCGTTTTGTGTGGTATTTGCAGGACTTTTGCAGGGTGCCAAGGGGATCCCGGCAAATTTTGACCCGCAAATGTTGTTCCTACCCTTTTCCGTTTTGTGTGGTATTTGCAGGACTTTTGCAGGGTGCCAAGGGGATCCCGGCAAATTTTGACCCGCAA